TGTTCTGCTTCCTTAACTTCATTCTACATCCCAAGTTTCTTCTCCATCCTTAACTATATAATCTCCCATCCGATCCCATCCCATCCGAAAGTTCTTCTCCTTCCTTAACTTCTTCTTCCTTAATTTCTTCTCCATACTTAGTAGATTCTTCTCCATTCCAAACTTATTCTCCATCCCAAACTTCTTCCCCATCCATACTTTCTTCTTTATCATTAACTTCTTCTCCATCCAAAACTTCTTCTTCCTTGACTTCGTCTCCTTCCTAAACTTCTTCTTCCTTAACTTCTTCTCCATACTTCGATTCTTCTCCTCCATCCCAAACTTCTCCTCCATCTCGGTACAGCCTACTCTGTCAACGAAAGCACATAACGTCTGAAGCTCATCAGAAGTAAAAGCACATTGGTTAATCCTTTTGAAAAATTAATTGAAATAGTATTATAGGACGCATATTACAAACGTTGCATGCATATGATAGGCTCCTATCTCTCAAAAAAGAAGAGAAAGAAAAAATGACAATAAAAAGAATAATGCCTGCTAGGAGATTCTTAGGCAAAAGTTAGGGTAGACTGCTAGATCGAAAACCCGCAAAGGGCGGTCTAGGCAAAAGTTAGGGCATTCATAAAAAAGGAAAAAGCCCGCTAAGATATCCTAGGCAAAAAGTAAGGCAGTCCGCTAGACCGAAAACCCCAAAAGGGCGGTCTAGGCAAAAGATAGGGCTAAACCAAAAAATAAATAAAAGAGAGGGGTCCTTCATCATAATCATGAAAGTCCAGCAGGAGAATGCCAGTCACTTTTCCAGATGCATCGATAAAAAATAATACATTGCATTTAGGGCATCCACACACAAATAGTCGCACAAAACGACTTTGTCAAGATCAAAAATGAAAAAAAATATATATATAAAAATCACTTCAGATAAATAACAAAAAAAAAAACGAAAAGCATTCATGCATATAAGGAGACTAGCTCCATGTTTGTGATTGAAAACAGGATCACTGAGACCGAGTCTCCAAATAATGCCCTCAAGAAAGTGGAGCAAGTCGTCAATCAAGCGACTCAGCAGAATAAGAGCTTCTGAAAATCAAGAGCTCCAACTACCATCCTTCTACCCAGAAAAGAAGGCACAATAAAGTAATAAGTCTCCAAACATTGCTCTCCCTCAAGAAAGAAGAGCGAGTGGTCATAAGAAGCTTCCAGAAGCCAAAGCTCTAGTCATCACCACATTAAAGAGGGCACAATCATCAGACATCATAAAAGAAAAGCCGACGGAAAGGCTTAGTCATCCCCAAGAGGATCCCTGCCTACTCCGAAGGCAACACAAAAATTACCCCATGGCTCAGCACCGCCATCACATGAGTCATCGAGCACACTCACCCAAAGTCTCCTCCACACTCCCCAATGGAGAATAAAGGCTTCAAGAGCCCATCATCATCAACAGACAAAAGAGTCCAAACCATCAAGGGCTCAACAAAAAGAAAGAAGAGAAAAGAAGAGAAAACCCTTCATCTCCAGCAGATGACAAAAAAGGCCATGACAGAGAAGGCCAAATAAAAATCCTCAAGTGGATATCCAAAAAATCTACAAAAAAGGAATTAGAAATTCGCATCCCCCAATGGAATAGGAGCTTCACAAGTATAGCTTTTATCACATTAATGAAGGAGCCAGGACTCCATCCCTTGAAAAGAAAAGATCCCCAGGAAGTCAACTAATTCCCTCGTGGATCACCAAAAAAAAAAAGGAAAACTTCCTCACTAGTGGACCCTCCAAAAAAGGAAAAAAAGCCAGCGTAATAAAAAGAGACTAAAAAGTAAAAAGGCTTACGCATTATCCTAAAAAAGCCAGATTTTAAAATCGCGATAAAAAAGAGATAAATCGCGAAAAAAGGCGAAATCAATCCTAACTTTCAGGCAATCAATAAAATTTCTAAGTGGGTCACCTCAGAAAAGGGAAAATCAACGAAAAAGAAGGAATCGAAAATCCCAATGAAACGAGAGTATCGGCAAAGCCATCTCATACCAACAACATCCAACAAGGAGTCAAAACTCCATTCCCTCAAAGGGGAAATCAAAATTAGATCCTCGGGAAGGCAACCAATTCCCCCGTGGATCAATCAACAAGAAAGATCACCCCCAGTGAGCCTACTGCAAAGGCAAAACTTCATATTCATCCTCAAAATGTCATTTGCCTATGCATAGGCAAGGCCTGGCAAGCAAGAGCCAACATCCCCATAAGGGAATATCAGCCTAGTCAGAGGCAAAACAAATGCATCCAAAAGTCTTCACTTCCGATGAAGCATCCGCCTACTCAGAGGCATTACTAGAAACTCAATGGAGTATCTGCCTGCTCAAAGGCACCGTCAAAATCAACAAATTTTCAATGGATATCCGCCTACTTAAGAGGCGTCCCCAAGATTAACAAATCCCTAGAGGATTCCTGCCTACCTAAGAGGCACTCATAAACATCCCCGACAACCAGCAAAGTCGGATGACAAATACCAAGAGGTCAAAACAAAGAATCCCCAGCAACCAACGAAGCTGGATGAGCACCGACAATCCCCGGCACAACCCGGATGACCATTCCAAAAAGGACCGAGCACATCTACCAACACAGAGATCACTCCCCAGGGAGCCGGCGCATGAGCTACCCGAGCAGTAAGCCGCCACTACCACCAGTCCTACGCAGTGGACTGTACCAGCCAGATAGGGGGTTCATACCTATCAACTCGCACACGCAAGCGCGCCGAGCTGGCGCATGGGCCACCTGAACTGTAAGCCGCCATTACCACCCTGATGGGGGGTTCATACCCATCCGGTCCCACACAATGGACCGTACCAGCCTGATGGGGGGTTCATACCCATCCGGTCCCACACAACGGACCGTACCAGCCTGATGGGGGGTTCATACCCATCCAGTCCCACACAACGGACTGCAACTACCAGCCTGATGGGGGGTTTATACTCATCAACCGAAGAATCGGCTACGTCAGAAGTAGTATCCGGAGGTTCTACCACGTGTCAACCAAAGGGATCGGCTACGTTAGGAGTAGTATCCCGGAGGCGCACAAACACAACATCTCCCCAGAGGATCATCTGCCACAAGACGGCAGTCCGAAGGGTAGCCGGGCAAGAGGGTCAACTCCTTTACCTTCCTGACAATCTGTTTGGCACAACAGACCAACAGTTGACTAGTCAGGTAAAGGGGGGGCAGTTGTAGACCCCAAATCTTGCCCGACCTCCAAATAAAGTCAGAAAGCTTCCCATTTGAAGATGGTCGAAGCCTAACAAGCCATTAGGAGAGACTATTAGGCTCCCGTACCAGGATAGGAAGGTTTTTTGGCCCGAAAATAAAGTTTCTCGCCCTGAAGGGACGAGACCGCCGTCTGGGAATACCAGACCGCCGTCTCGTTTCAACGCCAGGACGAGACCGCCGTCTCGATTTTCCAGACGGCGGTCTCGTCACTCGCAAAATCGAGACAGCGGTCTGGGTTTTCCAGACGGCGGTCTCGATTCCGGCCAAGTCGAGACGGCGGTCTGGGTTTTCCAGACGGCGGTCTCGACCTGCTGCACGAACGAGACGGCAGTCTGGAAAACCCAGACGGCGGTCTCGAACCTGTCAACGGAGATGGCGGTCTCGACCTGTCAGGCGCGAAAAACTATAAATAGGGGCGTCATTTCTCCCTTTTTCCACACCCAGCAGCAAGAGCTCTCCCTTCTCTCTAGATTTTCTCTCTCTAAGAATCCCTCCGAGGCATTTCTGGAGTTTCTGAGCGTCTCTAGGCATAGACTGAGCATTCTAAATCTTCTTAAGAATCCCTCCGAGGTATTTCCGGAGTTTCTAAGAGTTGTAGAGTGAAGGGTTGCCAAAACGCACCCTCTCTTTAAAGAAATATAAAAGCTTGCTTTGGAGGTGCATATTCTCCCTCTCTATTTTTACTACTGCCATTTAAATTACGTAATAGAAGCTAGGGCCATGTAGTCATAAATTCAAATACCACATAATAAAAGGGTAAAAGCGCAATTTTCCAGTTTAATTATTTATCAAAAGTAGTCGGCCTGTCATAGGGAACCCGAAAGGGGCGTCGTAAAGGGACTAATACTCCCTTTACACGTAACTAACTCCCTTACCCAACTCTGGTTCTAATGACCAAAGTTGGTTTTCGAAAACCAACGCCTTTTTAAACCCCTTTTCCGATGTTTATGGTAAAAATATCGGTGGCGACTCCATAGAACCCAAAATAAATAAGTCCTTGGGCTAGCCCGGTTATCGGACAACCCAATGACACTTTTCGAAAACCTCGCCCCTAGGTTAGCCCGGTTATCGGACAACCTAAAGGCGTTGTAACCACCAATGAAAAACGCGAAAATCAAGAGGGTCGAAAAAACCATCGCGTCGCTCCGACCGCCCCCTTTTTTGGGAGGCGGCGACAGTCAGTTGTTGCTCTACTAGGGTTCTTCCTTGCATCACTTGATCTTATCAAGAATTATTCGATTCTTGTGGCGATCCTTCTTGGCTTATCAAATATTCTTATTTGTGGCGCCTACGGTATCTTTTATGTTTTTCTGTTTTCTATTTCCAATCAAATCAACTCTTAAAACCTAACCCTAAATTATTTCCCTTCTATTCGAGTGTCGTCAATCCTCCTTAACTTCTTCTGCTTCCTTAACGTCATTCTACATCCCAAGTTTCTTCTCCATCCTTAACTATATAATCTCCTATCCTATCCCATCCCATCCGAAAGTTCTTCTCCTTCCTTAACTTCTTCTTCCTTAATTTCTTCTCCATACTTAGTAGATTCTTCTCCATTCCAAACTTCTTCTCCATCCCAAACTTCTTCCCCATCCATACTTTCTTCTTTATCCTTAACTTCTTCTCCATCCAAAACTTCTTCTTCCTTGACTTCGTCTCCTTCCTAAACTTCTTCTTCCTTAACTTCTTCTCCATACTTCGATTCTTCTCCTCCATTCCAAACTTCTCCTCCATCCCAAACTTCTTCTCCATCCTTAACTTCTTCTCCATCCCAAACTTCTTCCCCATCCATTTTCTTCTTTACCCTTAACTTCTTCTCCATCCAAAACTTCTTCTTCTTCTTCTTCCTTAACTTCTTCTCCTTCCTTCACTTCTTCCCCATCCCAAACTACTTCTCCATCCTTAACTTCTTCTTCTCCTTCCCTAACTTGTTCTCCATCCTCCTTAACTTCTTCTGCTTCCTTAACTTCATTCTACATCCCAAGTTTCTTCTCCATCCTTAACTATATAATCTCCTATCCTATCCCATCCCATCCGAAAGTTCTTCTCCTTCCATAACTTCTTCTTCCTTAATTTCTTCTTCATACTTAGTAGATTCTTCTCCATTCCAAACTTCTTCTCCATCCCAAACTTCTTCCCCATCCATACTTTCTTCTTTATCCTTAACTTCTTCTCCATCCAAAACTTCTTCTTCCTTGACTTCGTCTCCTTCCTAAACTTCTTCTTCCTTAACTTCTTCTCCATACTTCGGTTCTTCTCCTCCATTCCAAACTTCTCCTCCATCCCAAACTTCTTCTCCATCCTTAACTTCTTCTCCATCCCAAACTTCTTCCCCATCCATACTTTCTTCTTTACCCTTAACTTCTTCTCCATCCAAAACTTCTTCTTCTTCTTCCTTAACTTCTTCTCCTTTCTTCACTTCTTCCCCATCCCAAACTACTTCTCCATCCTTAACTTCTTCTTCTCCTTCCCTAACTTGTTCAACATCCTTAACTTCTTCTCCTTCCCTAAATTGTTCTTCATTCTTCACTTTTTCTCCTTCCCTAACTTCTTCTCCATCCTCCTTAACTTATTCTGCTTCCTTAACTTCATTCTACATCCCAAGTTTCTTCTCCATCCTTAACTATATAATGTCCTATCCTATCCCATCCCATCCGAAAGTTCTTCTCCTTCCTTAACTTCTTCTTCCTTAATTTCTTCTCCACACTTAGTAGATTCTTCTCCATTCCAAACTTCTTCTCCATCCCAAACTTCTTCCCCATCCATACTTTCTTCTTTATCCTTAACTTCTTCTCCATCCAAAACTTCTTCTTCCTTGACTTCGTCTCCTTCCTAAACTTCTTCTTCCTTAATTTCTTCTCCATACTTCGATTCTTCTCCTCCATTCCAAACTTCTCCTCCATCCCAAACTTCTTCTCCATCCCAAACTTCTTCCCCATCCATGCTTTCTTCTTTACCCTTACCTTCTTCTCCATCCAAAACTTCTTCTTCTTCTTCTTCCTTAACTTCTTCTCCTTCCTTCACTTCTTCCCCATTCCAAACTATTTCTCCATCCTTACCTTCTTCTTCTCCTTCTTAACTTGTTCTCCATCCTTAACTACTTCTCCATCCTTAACTTCTTGTTCTCCTTCTTAAATTGTTCTCCATCCTTAACTTCTTCTCCTTCCCTAACTTGTTCTTCATTCTTCACTTTTTCTCCTTCCCTAACTTCTTCTACTTCCTTAACTTCATTCTACGTCCCAAGTTTCTTCTCCATCCTTAACTATATAATCTCCTATCCTATCCCATCCCATCCGAAAGTTCTTCTCCTTCCTTAACTTCTTCTTCTTCCTTAATTTCTTCTCCATACTTAGTAGATTCTTCTCCATTCCAAACTTCTTCTCCATCCCAAACTTCTTCCCCATCCATACTTTCTTCTTTATCCTTAACTTCTTCTCCATCCAAAACTTCTTCTTCCTTGACTTCGTCTTCTTCCTAAACTTCTTCTTCCTTAACTTCTTCTCCATACTTCGATTCTTCTCATCAATTCCAAACTTCTCCTCCATCCCAAACTTCTTCTCCATCCCAAACTTCTTCCCCATCCATGCTTTCTTCTTTACCCTTAACTTCTTCTCCATCCAAAACTTCTTCTTCCTTGACTTCGTCTCCTTCCTAAACTTCTTCTTCCTTAACTTCTTCTCCATACTTCGATTCTTCTCCTCCATTCCAAACTTCTCCTCCATCCCAAACTTCTTCTCCATCCCAAACTTCTTCCCCATCCATGCTTTCTTCTTTACCCTAAACTTCTTCTCCATCCAAAACTTCTTCTTCTTCTTCTTCCTTAACTTCTTCTCCTTCCTTCACTTCTTCCCCATTCCAAACTATTTCTCCATCCTTACCTTCTTGTTCTCCTTCTTAACTTGTTCTCCATCCTTAACTACTTCTCCATCCTTAACTTCTTGTTCTCCTTCTTAAATTCTTCTCCATCCTTAACTTCTTCTCCTTCCCTAACTTGTTCTTCATTCTTCACTTTTTCTCCTTCCCTAACTTCTTCTCCATCCTCCTTAACTTCTTCTGCTTCCTTAACTTCATTCTATGTCCCAAGTTTCTTCTCCATCCTTAACTATATAATCTCCTATCCTATCCCATCCCATCCGAAAGTTCTTCTCCTTCCTTAACTTCTTCTTCTTCCTTAATTTCTTCTCCATACTTAGTAGATTCTTCTCTATTCCAAACTTCTTCTCCATCCCAAACTTCTTCCCCATCCATACTTTCTTCTTTATCCTTAACTTCTTCTCCATCCAAAACTTCTTCTTCCTTGACTTCGTCTTCTTCCTAAACTTCTTCTTCCTTAACTTCTTCTCCATACTTCGATTCTTCTCATCAATTCCAAACTTCTCCTCCATCCCAAACTTCTTCTCCATCCCAAACTTCTTCCCCATCCATGCTTTCTTCTTTACCCTTAACTTCTTCTCCATCCAAAACTTCTTCTTCCTTGACTTCGTCTCCTTCCTAAACTTCTTCTTCCTTAACTTCTTCTCCATACTTCGGTTCTTCTCCTCCATTCCAAACTTCTCCTCCATCCCAAACTTCTTCTCCATCCTTAACATCTTCTCCATCCCAAACTTCATCCCCAGCTATGCTTTCTTCTTTACCCTTAACTTCATCTCCATCCAAAACTTCTTCTTCTTCTTCTTCCTTAACTTCTTCTCCTTCCTTCACTTCTTCCCCATCCCAAACTACTACTCCATCCTTAGCTTCTTCTTCTCCTTCCCTAACTTGTTCTCCATCCTTAACTTCTTCTCCTTCCCTAACTTGTTCTTCATTCTTCACTTTTTCTCCTTCCCTAACTTCTTCTCCATCCTCCTTTACTTCTTCTGCTTCCTTAACTTCATTCTACGTCCCAAGTTTCTTCTCCATCCTTAAAAATATAATCTCCTATCCTATCCCATCCCATCTGAAAGTTCTTCTCCTTCCTTAACTTCTTCTTCCTTAATTTCTTCTCCATACTTAGCAGAATCTTCTCCATTCCAAACTTCTTCTCCATCCCAAACTTCTTCCACATCCATACTTTCTTCTGTATCCTTAACTTCTTCTTTATCCAAAACTTCTTCTTCCTTGACTTCGTCTCCTTCCTAAACTTCTTCTTCCTTAACTTCTTCTCTATACTTCGGTTCTTCTCCTCCATTCCAAACATCTCCTCCATCCCAAACTTTTTCTCCATCCTTAACTTCTTCTCCATCCCAAACTTCTTCCCCATCCATGCTTTCTTCTTTAACCTTAACTTCTTCTCCATCCAAAACTTCTTCTTCTTCTTCTTCCTTAACTTCTTCTCCTTCCTTCACTTCTTCCCCATCCCAAACTATTTCTCCATCCTTAACTTCTTCTTCTCCTTCTTAACTTGTTCTCCATCCTTAACTTCTTCTCCTTCCCTAACTTGTTCTTCATTCTTCACTTTTTCTCCTTCCCTAACTTCTTCTCCATCCTCCTTAACTTCTTCTCCTTCCTTAACTTCATTCTATGTCCAAAGTTTCTTCTCCATTCTTAACTATATAATCTCCTATCCTATCCCATCCATCTGAAAGTTTTTCTCCTTCCTTAACTTCTTCTTCCTTAATTTCTTCTCCATACTTACTAGCTTCTTCTCCATTCCAAACTTCTTCTCCATCCCAAACTTCTTCCCCATCCATACTTTTTTCTTTATCCTTAACTTCTTCTCCATCCAAAACTTCTTCTTCCTTGACTTCGTCTCCTTCCTAAACTTCTTCTTCCTTAACTTCGTCTCCATACTTCGATTCATCTCCTCCATTCCAAACTTCTCCTCCATCCCAAACTTCTTCTCTATCCTTAACTTCTTCTCCATCCCAAACTTCTTCCCCATCCATGCTTTCTTCTTTACCCTTACCTTCTTCTCCATCCAAAACTTCTTCTTCTTCTTCTTCCTTAACTTCTTCTCCTTCCTTCACTTTTTCCCCATCCCAAACTACTTCTCCATCCTTAACTTCTTCTTCTCCTTCCCTAACTTGTTCCCCATCCTTATCTTCTTCTCCTTCCCTAACTTGTTCTTCATTCTTCACTTTTTCTCCTTCCCTAACTTCTTCTCCATCCTCCTTAACTTCTTCTGCTTCCTTAACTTCATTCTACATCCCAAGTTTCTTCTTCTCCATCCTTAACTATATAATCTCATATCATATCCCATCCCATCCGAAAGTTCTTCTCCTTCCTTAACTTCTTCTTCCTTAATTTCTTCTCCATACTTAGTAGATTCTTCTCCATTCCAAACTTCTTCTCCATCCCAAACTTCTTCCTCATCCATACTTTCTTCTTTATCCTTAACTTCTTCTCCATCCAAAACTTCCTCTTCCTTGACTTCATCTCCTTCCTAAAATTTTTCTTCCTTAAATTCTTCTCCATACTTCGGTTCTTCTCCTCCATTCCAAACTTCTCCTCCATCCTAAACTTCTTCTCCATCCTTAACTTCTTCTGCATCCCAAATTTCTTCCCCATCCATGCTTTCTTCTTTACCCTTAACTTCTTCTCCATCCAAAACTTCTTCTTCTTCTTCTTCCTTAACTTCTTCTCCTTCCTTCACTTCTTCCCCATCCCAAACTACTTCTCCATCCTTAGCTTCTTCTTCTCCATCCCTAACTTGTTCTCCATCCTTAACTTCTTCTCCTTCCCTAACTTGTTCTTCATTCTTCACTTTTTCTCCTTCCCTAACTTCTTCTCCATCCTCTTTAACTTCTTCTGCTTCCTTAACGTCATTCTACATCCCAAGTTTCTTCTCCATCCTTAACTATATAATCTCCTATCCTATCCCATCCCATCCGAAAGTTCTTCTCCTTCCTTAACTTCTTCTTCCTTAATTTCTTCTCCATACTTAGTAGATTCTTCTCCATTCCAAACTTCTTCTCCATCCCAAACTTCTTCCCCATCCATATTTTCTTCTTTATCCTTAACTTCTTCTCCATCCAGAACTTCTTCTTCCTTGACTTCGTCTCCTTCCTAAACTTCTTCTCCATACTTTGGTTCTTCTCCTCCATTCCAAACTTCTCCTCCATCCCAAACTTCTTCTCCATCCTTAACTTCTTCTTCATCCCAAACTTCTTCCCCATCCATGCTTTCTTCTTTACCCTTAACTTATTCTCCATCCGAAACTTCTTCTTCTTCTTCCTTAACTTCTTCTCCTTTCTTCACTTCTTCCCCATCCCAAACTACTTCTCCATCCTTAACTTCTTCTTCTCCATCCCTAACTTGTTCTCCATCCTTAACTTCTTCTCCTTCCCTAACTTGTTCTTCATTCTTCACTTTTTCTCCTTCCCTAACTTCTTCTCCATCCTCTTTAACTTCTTCTGCTTCCTTAACTTCATTCTACATCCCAAGTTTCTTCTCCATCCTTAACTATATAATCTCCTATCCTATCCCATCCCATCCGAAAGTTCTTCTCCTTCCTTAACTTCTTCTTCCTTAATTTCTTCTCCATACTTAGTAGATTCTTCTCCATTCCAAACTTCTTCTCCATCCCAAACTTCTTCCCCATCCATACTTTCTTCTTTATCCTTAACTTCTTCTCCATCCAAAACTTCTTCTTCCTTGACTTCATCTCCTTCCTAAACTTCTTCTTCCTTAACTTCTTCTCCATACTTCGGTTCTTCTCCTCCATTCCAAACTTCTCCTCCATCCCAAACTTCTTCTCCATCCTTAACTTCTTCTCCATCCCAAACTTCTTCCCCATCCATACTTTCTTCTTTACCCTTAACTTCTTCTCCATCCGAAACTTCTTCTTCTTCTTCCTTAACTTCTTCTCCTTTCTTCACTTCTTCCCCATCCCAAACTACTTCTCCATCCTTAACTTCTTCTTCTCCATCCCTAACTTCTTCTCCATCCTTAACTTCTTCTCCTTCCCTAACTTGTTCTTCATTCTTCACTTTTTCTCCTTCCCTAACTTCTTCTCCATCCTCCTTAACTTCTTCTGCTTCCTTAACTTCATTCTACATCCCAAGTTTCTTCTCCATCCTTAACTATATAATCTCCTATCCTATCCCATCCCATCCGAAAGTTCTTCTCCTTCCTTAACTTCTTCTTCCTTAATTTCTTCTCCATACTTAGTAGATTCTTCTCCATTCCAAACTTCTTCTCCATCCCAAACTTCTTCCCCATCCATACTTTCTTCTTTATCCTTAACTTCTTCTCCATCCAGAACTTCTTCTTCCTTGACTTCGTCTCCTTCCTAAACTTCTTCTCCATACTTTGGTTCTTCTCCTCCATTCCAAACTTCTCCTCCATCCCAAACTTCTTCTCCATCCTTAACTTCTTCTTCATCCCAAACTTCTTCCCCATCCATGCTTTCTTCTTTACCCTTAACTTATTCTCCATCCAAAACTTCTTCTTCTTCTTCCTTAACTTCTTCTCCTTTCTTCACTTCTTCCCCATCCCAAACTACTTCTCCATCCTTAACTTCTTCTTCTCCATCCCTAACTTGTTCTCCATCCTTAACTTCTTCTCCTTCCCTAACTTGTTCTTCATTCTTCACTTTTTCTCCTTCCCTAACTTCTTCTCCATCCTCCTTAACTTCTTCTGCTTCCTTAACTTCATTCTACATCCCAAGTTTCTTCTCCATCCTTAACTATATAATCTCCTATCCTATCCCATCCCATCCGAAAGTTCTTCTCCTTCCTTAACTTCTTCTTCCTTAATTTCTTCTCCATACTTAGTAGATTCTTCTCCATTCCAAACTTCTTCTTCATCCCAAACTTCTTCCTCATCCATACTTTCTTCTTTATCCTTAACTTCTTCTCCATCCAAAACTTCTTCTTCCTTGACTTCATCTCCTTCCTAAACTTCTTCTTCCTTAACTTCTTCTCCACACTTCGGTTCTTCTCCTCCATTCCAAACTTCTCCTCCATCCCAAACTTCTTCTCCATCCTTAACTTCTTCTCCATCCCAAACTTCTTCCCCATCCATGCTTTCTTCTTTACCCTTAACTTCTTCTCCATCCAAAACTTCTTCTTCTTCTTCCTTAACTTCTTCTCCTTTCTTCACTTCTTCCCCATCCCAAACTACTTCTCCATCCTTAACATCTTCTTCTCCATCCCTAACTTCTTCTCCATCATTAACTTCTTCTCCTTCCCTAACTTGTTCTTCATTCTTCACTTTTTCTCCTTCCCTAACTTCTTCTCCATCCTCCTTAACTTCTTCTGCTTCCTTAACTTCATTCTACATCCCAAGTTTCTTCTCCATCCTTAACTATATAAGCTCCTATCCTATCCCATCCCATTCGAAAGTTCTTCTCCTTCCTTAACTTCTTCTTCTGTAATTTCTTCTTCATACTTAGTAGATTCTTCTCCATTCCAAATTTCTTCTCCATCCCAAACTTCTTCCCCATCCATACTTTCTTCTTTATCCTTAACTTCTTCTCCATCCAAAACTTCTTCTTCCTTGACTTCGTCTCCTTCCTAAACTTCTTCTTCTTTAACTTCTTCTCCATATTTCGGTTCTTCTCCTCCATTCCAAACTTCTCCTCCATCCCAAACATCTTCTCCATCCCAAACTTCTTCCCCATCCATGCTTTCTTCTTTACCCTTAACTTCTTCTCCATCCAAAACTTATTCTTCTTCTTCTTCCTTAACTTCTTCTCCTTCCTTCACTTCTTCCCCATCCATAACTACTTCTCCATCCTTAGCTTCTTCTTCTCCTTCCCTAACTTGTTCTCCATCCTAAACTTCTTCTCCTTCCCTAACTTGTTCTTCATTCTTCACTTTTTCTGCTTCCCTAACTTCTTCTCCATCCTCCTTAACTTCTTCTACTTCCTTAACTTCATTCTACATCCCAAGTTTCTTCTCCATCCTTAACTATATAATCTCCTATCCTATCCCATCCCATCCGAAAGTTCTTCTCCTTCCTTAACTTCTTCTTCCTTAATTTCTTCTTCATACTTAGTAGATTCTTCTCCATTCCAAATTTCTTCTCCATCCCAAACTTCTTCCCCATCCATACTTTCTTCTTTATCCTTAACTTCTTCTCCATCCAAAACTTCTTCTTTCTTGACTTCGTCTCCTTCCTAAACTTCTTCTTCCTTAACTTCTTCTCCATACTTCGGTTCTTCTCCTCCATTCCAAACTTCTCCTCCATCCCAAACTTCTTCTCCATCCCAAACTTCTTCCTCATCCATGCTTTCTTCTTTACCCTTAACTTCTTCTCCATCCAAACCTTCTTCTTCTCCTTCCTTCACTTCTTCCCCATCCCAAACTACTTCTTCATCCTTAACTTCTTCTTCTCCTTCCCTAACTTGTTCTCCATCCTTAACTTCTTCTCCTTCCCTAACTTGTTCTTCAATCTTCACTTTTTCTCCTTCCCTAACTTCTTCTCCATCCTCCTTAACTTCTTCTGCTTCCTTAGCTTCATTCTACATCCCAAGTTTCTTGTCCATCCTTAACTATATAATCTCCTATCCTATCCCATCCCATCCGAAATTTCTTCTCCTTCCTTAACTTCTTCTTCCCTAATTTCTTCTCCATACTTAGTAGATTCTTCTCCATTCCAAACTTTTTCCCCATCCATACTTTCTTCTTTATCCTTAACTTCTTCTCCATCCAAAACTTCTTCTTCCTTGACTTCGTCTCCTTCCTAAACTTCTTCTTCCTTAACTTCTTCTCCATACTTCAGTTCTTCTCCTCCATTCCAAACTTCTCCTCCATCCTAAACTTCTTCTCCATCCTTAACTTCTTCTGCATCCCAAATTTCTTCCCCATCCATGCTTTCTTCTTTACCCTTAACTTCTTCTCCAACCAAAACTTCTTCTTCTTCTTCTTCCTTAACTTCTTCACCTTCCTTCACTTCTTCCCCATCCCAAACTACTTCTCCATCCTTAACTTCTTCTTCTCCTTCCCAAACTTGTTCTCCATCCTTAACTTCTTCTCCTTCCCTAACTTGTTCTTCATTCTTCCCTTTTTGTCCTTCCCTAACTTCTTCTCCATCCTCTTTAAATTCTTCTGCTTCCTTAACTTCATTCTACATCCCAAGTTTCTTCTCCATCCTTAACTATATAATCTCATATCCTATCCCATCCCATCCGAAAGTTCTTCTCCTTCCTTAACTTCTTCTTCCTAAATTTCTTCTCCATACTTAGTAGATTCTTCTCCATTCCAAACTTCTTTTCCATCCCAAACTTCCTCCCCATCCATACTTTTTTTCTTTATCCTTAACTTCTTCTCCATCCAAAACTTCTTCTTCCTTGACTTCGTCTCCCGCCTAAGTTAACTTCTTCTCCATACTTCGGTTCTTCTCCTCCATTCCAAACTTCTCCTCCATCCCAAACTTCTTCCCCATCCATGCTTTCTTCTTTACCCTTAACTTCTTCTCCATCCAAAACTTCTTCTTCTTCTTCATCCTTAACTTCTTCTCCTTCCTTCACTTCTTCCCCATCCCAAACTACTTCTCCATCCTTAACTTCTTCTTCTCCTTCCCTAACTTGTTCTCCATCCTTAACTTGTTCTCCTTCCCTAACTTGTTCTTCAATCTTCACTTTTTCTCCTTCCCTAACTTCTTCTCCATCCTCCTTAACTTCTTCTACTTCCTTAACTTCATTCTACATCCCAAGTTTCTTGTCCATCCTTAACTATATAATCTCCTATCCTATCCCATCCCATCTGAAAGTTCTTCTCCTTCCTTAACTTCTTCTTCGTTAATTTCTTCTCCATACTTAGTAGATTCTTCTTGTCGCCGCCGTCAAAACGAGGCGGTCGGAGCGACGCGATGGTTTTATCGACCCTTCTTGTTTTCGCGTTTTTTATTGGTGGTTACAACGTCTTCAGGCTGTCCGATAACCGGACTAATCTGGAGACGAGGTTTTCGAAAAGTGTCCTTGAGTTGTCCGACAACCGGGCTAACCCAAGGACTTATTTATTTTGGGTTCTATGGAGTCGCCACCGATATTTTTACCATAAACATCAGAAAAAGGGTTTTAAAAGGCGTTGGTTTTCGAAAACCAACTTTGGTCATTAGAACCAGAGTTGGGTAAGGGAGTTAGTTACGTGCAAAGGGAGTATTAGTCCCTTTGCGACGCCCCTTTCGGGTTCCCTATGATGGGCCGGCTATTTATAAATATTTAAACTTGGAAAATTGCGCTTTTACCCTTTTTATTATGCAGAATTTAAATATGTGACTACATTGCCCTAGCTTCTATTGCATAATTTAAATAGCGGTAATTTTAAAGAGAAGAGAATGAGGATATGCACCTCCAAAGCAAGCTTTATATAAAAAAAAAGGGTGCGTTTTGGCAACCCTGCACTCTACACTATCAGAAACTCCGGAAATGCCTCGGAGGGATTCTTAAGAAGATTTAGAACGCTCAGTCTATGCCTAAAGACGCTCAGAAACTCCGGAAATGCCTCGGAGGGATTCTTAGAGAGAGAAAATCTAGAGAGAAGGGAGAGCTCTTGTTGCTTGGTGTGTGGAAATGAGGGGGGGAGAGCCCCTATTTATAGTTTTTCGCGCTGTCAGGGTCCAGACCGCCGATCTCGTCTGACAGGGTCGCGACCGCCGTCTCGGAATTCGAGACCGCCGTCTCGTTCATGTCAGCAAGTCGAGACCGCCGTCTGGGAAAACAGGACCGCCGTCTCGAATAAGCGGAAGTCGAGACCGCCGTCTGGAAAACCCAGACCGCCGTCTCAAATTTGCGAGTGACGAGACCGCCGTCTGGAAAATCGAGACGGCGGTCTCGTCCTGGCGCTGAAACGAGACGGTGGTCTGGTATTCCCAGACGGCGGTCTCGTCCCTTCAAGGCGAGAAACTTTATTTTTTGGGCAAAAAACCTTCCTATCTTGGTACGGAGGCCTAATAGTCTCTCCTAGTGGCTTGTTAGGCTTCGGCCTTCTTCAAATAGGAAGCTTTCTGACTTTATTTGGAGGCCGGGCAAGATTCGGGGTCTACAGCTGCCCCCCCTTTACCCGATCAGTCGACTGCTGGCCTTTTGTGCCGAGGTGATCGACTGGAGGGTAAAGGAGTTGACCCTCTTGCCCGGTTTCCCTTCGGATACTCCGTCTTTGTGGCGGATGATCTTCTGGGGAGATGTTGTGTTGTGCGCCTCTGGGATGCTCCTTCGATGCGGTAGCTGACCCCTTCAACTTATGAGTACGAACCCTCATCTGGTTTGATGAGTACGAACCCCCATCTGGTTTGACGAGTACGAACCCCCGCCTGGTAAGCCCCCTTCTGTAAGGCTTGATGAGTTCACACCCCCATCTGGTGTTTAGCCTCCGAATGCTCCATCTTGCGGTAGCTGATCCTTTGGCCGTGGTGGCGGCTTACTGATTCTGACCATGCACCGGTGTGAAACCTCGGGATGCTCCTTTGATGCGGTAGCCGATCCCTTGGCTGACGAGTATGAACCCCCGTCTGGTATTGTGCCTCTGGATGCCCCTTCTTGCGGTAGCTGATCCTTTGGCAATGGTGGCGGCTTACTGATTCTGACCATGCGCCGTTTCTCTGGAGTGTAACTTTTTGTGTTTTGATGATTGTGATTGGACCCTTCTGGAATGGTCATCCGGGTTGCCGAAAATCTGGTTTGTTGTTCATCCAGCTTTATTGGTTGCTGGGGATTCTTTGTTTTTTGCTCTTTTGGTGGTGATTATCCGACTCTGCTGGCTGGTCAGATTATCTTTGTTTTGTTCGACTCTTGCCCTGGTAGTCGGTTTTTATTGGTTTGAGGTAGTCTTTCATCCTGCCTCTTTTTTCGCGGTTTTATCTTTTTTTTCTCGCGATTTTTTGGATTTTGGCTTTTTTATTAAGCGTGTGCCTTTTCCTTTTTAAGCTTCTTTTTGTTACGCTGGCTTTTGCAAAAGAGGCAAAAAAAATGCGGGAAATAAAATTTTATTCATGGAAAATTTTATTACAACAACTTTTATTTTTAACCCGTACAGTCCCTAAGAGTCGTCATCGTCATCAGAAGGAGCGCGGTGGGGAAAATATCTGTATATGTTGTAGCGGAAGTCGATCTGTTCCTGGATTTCGTCGTTATAATCCTCCTGGAACGCCGTCCACTCTTGTCGCATCCTCTGCTGTTCTTGCCAGATTTCGTCCTGGCGCTCTTGAAAGGCCTGTCGGTGCATTTCCTGGGTCTGCCGCCACTGGTTCTGTTGCTCTTGCCAGATCGACATTTGGCCAAGCTGTTGGCTTATGTCGGCCATGTGTTGGTGGAGGCCAGCAAAGTCCTCCGTGTACAGTGGCGGTGGTTGCTGTTGCTGTTGCTATTGCTTGTTGTTGTTGTTGTTGTTGTTGTTGCTTGGGAGGCTGGGGATGTGGGCGCATCTCGCATTGCCACTATTCCCGGAGGTCAAGCTCAAAATCCGGGGTGGGGTGCGGGGCAAAATGGCCTCCACGACGGATCAACATCCCCATGTCGACCGACATTGGCCCATTGATGGGCTCAGGGCGCAGGTTACGGGCCAGCTCTTCCCGGCCGGGGCACCCCCTTCTCTCTGCTAGCAGGGTGATGAGGGGAGCCACAAGGATGGCCCCTGCGGATCTACTCCTGAAGTCCTTCAGGGCTCTCAGGAGGAAATACCCAGGGTTGCAGCGGCGCCTTTGGTGCATACGGTGGAGGACGAAGAGGTCGGGAGGGATATTTTCCCCGACTCTCCTTCCTGGCGTGGATGGTGCCCGCCGGCGGCTTGTGGCGGATGCGGAGTGGTGTGGGGAGTGCGAGATCCCCTCATCAATGATGGTAATGTGGTGGCCCCGGTGAGCTCATGCCACATTTCACGGCGGTAAGGTTGGTGGGCACGGAGCATATGGCCTCACGGTACTCCGAGATTGTGCTTCCTCGGGCGTATGAATCCAATGGAGACATTGAATTCCTCCAAGGTAGTAGTGTGGTACTGCCCACCCATAAAATAAGTGACCATCTTGGTGGGCTGCATGCCGGAGGCCATGGAGGGAATCTCTATGAGAGTGGCCGAGGCCGAGAAATTCAAGTACCGCTCAGGGGTACACATGAGTGGGTGGAGGCTGTAGCAGGAAGCTCCACCCAATATTGTCTATATGTGCCCGGACGTCTTCTTCCCATCCGAACTCAGCCAGGATGCCAAAATCCAGTGTCAGCATGGAGTGCCACTGGTAATTTCTGAGATTATCTAAGCGGGCCTGGTGTTGCGGTTGAAGCTGAGAAGGGTCTGAGGGTGGCGGTGGTGCTGAACTACTAGCACCAGAGGTGCCCCTTCTCTTCCTGGAGGCGCTTCTACCAAACATTTTGAGCACAGAGAGTCTGGAAGAGGTTCTTTGGAAGTTCTGGAGGCTTAGGGAGCAAGGAGGAGTGTGAGGAACCCCATCTCGCGCGCCCCCTATATATAGGATTTTTTTTGGTTCGAGACCGCCGTCTGGAAAGTCGAGACGGCGATCTCGTTTGGTCAACAAATCGAGACGGCGGTCTCGATAATCCAGACGGCGGTCTCGATTTTTCTAAATCGAGACGGCGGTCTGGTTTCTCGAGATGGCGGTCTCGTTTTGTCAACGAAACGAGACGGCGGTCTGGGAAACCTAGACGGCGGTCTCGAATTTCAGATGAATTTTTTTTTTTTTTTTTTTGCATAGGAAATAGGACCTGGTTCAAAAACATTTCATGCATGCAAATGTTTTCATGTTTGATGTCCTATAATGCCTATTTTGGTTAATATTTTTAGAAGGATTTAACCAACGTGCCTTGTTGCGCTGAAAGCCTTCTGATTTGCTGTGCCTGCCATTTGGCTGTACCATGCCGGTCTTTCTTGTGACCGAAGAGTAGTTTCTTTCTTTTTTTCTTTTGTTTGTTTTTTCTTTTGTTTTTCTTTTGTAGAGCACTTTTGTCATGTAGTGTCCCTTTTTCCTTGCTTTAGGGATTTCAATCCTCTTGTTGACTATACGCCTCCATATTCCCAAATTAATTATTAGAATATTGTCGTGAGGATCAAGAGAAAAGAAGTAAAGGGGGTAAAAATCAATGGTTTGTGTTTTAGAGAGTTGATTTTTTTATTGATAAAGAATTTGTAAGAATGGCTGGCTAAGGGTTAGGCCTGAGTGTTTAAGCTTTGTCTAAGCAAACATTTTCTCTTTCTTTACCTTTTTTGGTATTTGCGCTCTTTGGTTTTATTTCCATCGCTTTTTAGATAGCTAGCTGATTTCCCTAGATCGCCCTTTGGGTTTTCGAACTAGGATACTGTGTGTTGGCCCTAACTTTTGTCTAGGTTTACTCTCTTGTAAAATTTCGGAGAAATCCTAGCGGACCTTTATTTGTAACCCTAACTTTTGCCTAGGCTACCCTTTGTTGTTGTTCGGGTATCCTACCAGGTTGACCCTAACTTTTGTGTAGCCCCCTTAGTGGGTTTCCTACCGGGTAATTTGCCCTTTTCTTTGGCCTTTGGCTTCTCTGGGCTTTTTTTTTTGTGTATTTATTTTTTTTGTTCACAGTATCGGCGAAGCGTGACTTTCTTTTATGGTTTAGGTAAAGTCTTTATTTTTATGTGCTTCTAATCAGCTAACTTAATGATGAGAGCAATGGTTCAATCATTTGGAAGCGCTTCTTATTCTTTTCTTCTTCTTTTTTTTTTTGTGTTT